TTGGAACAATGTCAGCTCGCACGGCAGGCGGATGAAGAGTTAATCCGCAGGTTACAGTCAGAGTGTGGCGAATTGAGAGCGCAACGTGCTGAAGCCGAATCGCAATTAGTGATAATTGAAGAGGATCGCAGGAAGGAGGCGGATCGCACGAAGGTGGAGACGGCGAGGCGTGTCGCCCACTGTCTCAAGGGCTACGCCCACTGGGAAGTGAAGGCGCAGGAGAAACTCACACTGCGTGAGTTTGAATTACGCGCAGCCGGGTTGTTGTCAGGCGACAGTAGGAGTCGGCGGAAGGTAGCAAAGAAGCTCGATGCCTTTCTGTCGAAGGCATAGGATACCATGTCCGCCCTCGAAGTGGAGGTGTCCGCGGCGTTGCAGCGTTTGGGACTGCGCAGTCGAGCGGAAGATTGGCAGGGTAGGGAGTTAGTGCGCGGCAGTCGGCCGCGCAGGAGACGTAGTACAGGTTCCGCGGAGTGTAGTGTAGCGTGGTTCCGTGCAGGCGTGTAGCGTAGTGCAGTGTAGTGCTAGTTAGGACTTAGAAGGTATAAAATAGTTCCAGGCGTTTTGCCTGGGGTTCTTTCCCATCAGAAGTGCAGATCAGGAACCCATTTCCTTTGCGTGTTTGTGTCCTTGAGTTCTGTCACCGCGCACGAGGAGTTACAACTTAGCGTTCCGCATTTTGTAGCTGAAGGCCTTCGGCCGAATGTTCAGAGCTAGTACATTGGTTAGAGACTTGAGTAGTTCGGATCTGCACCTGCGGGTGACTGCCGATGCTCAGAGCCAGTGACTAGTTAGATACTTGGACAGTTTCGCCCCTACACCTTCGAGTGTTTCTTTCTGATTGTACTCCTTGGGATTTTTCCCCTGAATGCCAAAGTGAAGTTTTGCTACTTCGTGTAAACCTTGGTTGTAACTTCAGGTTACGCTGCAGCAGGTGCCTTGAGGGTAACCCCTGTAGTATTTCTGGGAATGACAAGTGCCTGAGAATTCAAACTCTTCAATAGACTGTTGTTGTGTTACTGGAATGTTTCTCAGTGAGTCCTTCAGTGCGGACCTTTGTTCTCTGCGCGTTTTGTGAGTGGAGAGTGTTGTTCACCGCGTAGGAGTGACTTCGATCCGAAGTAGGCAGTCCAAACCGGGTTTCCTACACTAGCAGCAAGCTAGTGGAAGTGTTGTAAAAGCCGGAGTTGGAAGTCACTGCCCGCAGCTTTGCCGAGTGTGCTCGCGAGAGACTTTCCCCCTGAAATCTTGAAGTAGAGGTCCTAACGGATCTCTGGGTTGTGTTTCTGTAGTTTCAGGTGTGTGTGTGTGTGTTTTACGCTGCACTGTGCGACCTCCGAGTGCGCTCCGAGTGGACACTTGCAGTATTTCTGGGAGTGACAGTCGCCTGAGAATTCAAACTCCTCAATAGTCTGTTAAAACGTGACACTTTGTACCCTGTGTGTTCCTCTGTCCCTGTGGGTTCGACCTTTCTACCACTATATTGCAGTTTTAGCCTTTAGTGGGTTATTACATAGTTAGTAGACAAAGGTGCGGAAGGGGGCCTTCAGGGCAGGGTCTCCGGCGAAGTGCCTTCGGTGAAGTTCCTTCGGGGAAAGGCCTTCGGCGAAACAGTGAAACCCTCATAACGTTTTCAATGTGTGACACCTTGACTCAGTTAGTGTCTTGTTGGAAAGAGCTCGCAACGCTTGTTCCAACGAGACCAAGCGTTGCGAGCTCTTTCCAACAAGACACTAACTGAGTCAAGGTGTCACACATTGAAAACGTTATGAGGGTTTCACTGTTTCGCCGAAGGACTTTCCCCGAAGGAACTTCACCGAAGGCACTTCGCCGGAGACCCTGCCCTGAAGGCCTCCTTCCGCACATTTGTCTACTAACTATTACACCAACTCCTAATCTTGCCAAAACTTCCACAAAACTCCAAGCACAACTTTGCAAGAGCTTAAATCTAAACTTTTAACTCTCATAAGGTTAAAAAGACATGTGAGCACAGTTTTGTGTTCACAAAGACGCTGAAGGCAATAAGGCAATGAAGGCAATAAAAAAGCTGAAAGCTTTTTTATTGCCCTTAGGTTTTTCTCAGAAACATGCAAGGCCAAGATATGATCAATGATGTTCTATGTAGATGAAAAACATGCTTGAAACTGTGCTCTCTTTTGATGAGATCCATGTGCTCAACTTTGATTTCATCAATTTATCAAATAACTTGGCAAAAACACTACCCACCATAATAAAGCGATAGTTTATCACCATGTACTTACTTCCAGACTTGTGAATAGGAACAATCTTCTGTAAACAACAAGTTGAAGCTATGAATATGAGAGCTATGAATTTCTATAAATAGTTCTTCAATTATGCATTTCTTGTTAAATGTAATGAAATATTAACAATATCAAAGTATATATTTATCATATCAAAGTCTTGTACATAGTCAACATCAATGTAATGTAACAAGAACTTTGCAGTTTTCATAGATTTTTAAACAAAAAAGTAAAGTCATTACTAATTTTGAGGCATCTGAAAAAAAAATTCACATTACCAATGCATTTTTTCAGGTTTTTACCTCTTTAACCTAGAGCAATATCAGATCTATCGCATTTTATACACGCAACTTTCCATTACTTTGTTATAAAAAAATGATGACATCTTTTTCTTCTCAATAATATTGATTGAAGATTATGATGCAAAAAGCTTGAAATGTGTTGTAGAAACTGTATGAAATTTCTTTGAAGTACACCATGTTAAATATTTTAAGCACAGGTTGAATACACATTTTTTAATTTTAACTCCTGATTATTTTTGCCCAAATCTTTATGAACATCCATATTAAATATTATCATTGATTTAGGTTATTCTTGCATCTATTTAAGTTGGATTGATATTTTGTCAAAATGAGCATGTCATCCATACTAGACTAATGAGATTTATAATTTTACTATTCAGTTCTAATTATACACACTTCTTGAAATTCCTTGAGCATTTATTATTTCAACAAATTTTTCATTTCATTCATATAATTATTCAGCAGTATACAAATTAAAAATTTTTAGCATTCTTATTTCAAAACCAAAAAATTGTCTCATTTAACTTTCATCTCCAGAGTTTCACTAAATACTATTGCTATTATATACATCTGATCCATACTAACAATAATATTTCAACAAACTATATATCAGTTAAATTGAAGTATATTTTGCTAGAGATGATAAAACTATATTGTATTTTTCTCTTGAGTGAAACCTCTAATCACTAATCTAGTTTTCAAAATTATTATTTTTATTATCTATTGGATTACTTTTCTGCTTATTCATTCATATGTTATCAACCGAAGATCATTGATTGATAATAAATATCAATCAATGATTTGCTGGAATTGCATAAAATAAAAACTCTTGTAAATTGGTCGGAATTAGGTGAATTACATAAAGTGAAGATAGTATATAATTATCAAAGGTATTAAACATGTGCTTGAAGTTAAAAAATAATATATAATACTAAATTCAAGTGAATATTACCATGTGAATGTCCAATACATAAACAACCTGCATCGTGGCATATCTTAATTTTCGCTGCAGTGACGAAGTTGGTCACACGGTATCCGCCAGACATGGCGAATATTGATAATTGCATGACATCAATCCATTCTTTACAAATCATCCAGCAACCACAACGTCATTCTTGGCCATTAAAAAGTGTTGCATGGTTTATCGGAATCTTGAGCCAGTTGAGAGCATGGAGAACAAAATCCTGCTGAGTGCAACCGTGTGTAAAGAGTGGAGAGATTTGCTTGATGGGACCCATGCGGAAAGTAATTTGCTTGATGGGACTCTTCAGGTTTCATTTTACCCGATGGGACCCCATGAACGATGCACCGTCACCCATGTTCTAATAACAACTAGAGAGTGCAACGAGTACACCGCACCCGCAGACAGAGTGGACTTCGCACTCCATCACACTCACTTGTTTTTATGTTGTCATTCTGTATCCGGCCGCTCTCCAAGGAGACGAGCAAAGAAATGTTCATCCAGAGTTTATTTGTTCGCCACAAATGGGTGATCGTGAGACTTGAGCTCGGACCACGCAGGGTTACGGAAGGAGTGTGCAGGTGGGAGGCAACAGAGAAATCCGCGAATCTTTGCGATTGGAAGAATTGAAGCACAACAAATTGCACTTCGAGCAAAATCGATCTTTGTCCCCGTGATAATCCACCAGAAATTATAATCAGGGATTGATCTCTTATTGTAATTCCCGCACTGTAACTAGTAGTAATCGTTGTTACAAGAACTATGTCCGACGGCACACCGTAGGTGGGGTCCCATCGGGTAAAACTAAACCTAAGTGGTCCCATCAAGCAAATTACTTTACGCAGGGGTCCCATCAAGCAAATCTCTCGTAAAGAGTGTCATGAGTGGAGCTTTAACTTATTTTTTATTAGAAAGGTGTTCCAAGTTGTTGAAATGGCTCTATGAATAGAGTGTACTGATTTTGTTGCGCCTTCCGTTTTGTGACCTACACTAGAATTCCGAGCTGAATGAATTCCATTATTAAAGATGTATTTTGGAGCTATTCTATTTTGGCTTTGATCCTCATTTGGAGCTTTCAGGTTGAAAAGTAGAACTTCATGTGCCACAATCCTCCTACTTCCGGCTCGAAGCTTCAAACCCACATCTGAGTTCCTCCCCGGTATGCAATCTGATGATTCTTCCAAGTTTGCTATTTGGTCGTTCTACACGAGAGTCATTTTCGTCAATATCAACCCTATACGGAAAAAACGGTCTACTTCACGAGTCATTCAACTTTATGATTTCCATTTTTTATGCGGTACATTCTAAGCACATTTACTTGACCACTGCTTCCATCATTCAATCAGATGCTGCCTCAGATTGACTACTAAAGTCTCACTCCACCTTGAAACTCTGACAGTTTTCACCCGCCATTAGTTTGTAGAAAGTACTCGTGAACAAGTGCTTGATGTAAGGCAGAAGTGAGGATTCATGTAGGGAAGTGCTTTTATCGATTACTGCGACTCCTGTCGATCTGGAAATCAGCGCACAGAGTTGACGATAGCCATTACAAATCATAGTCCTACAGGACTGAAGTGCAGACGTAGTGGGGTCCGATGCCTTTCGGCGCGAACCTCAGGTCAAATGGAAGACACCGTGCTATCATGCCATCGACTATCCTTTGAATTCGTTGCTACCGAAATTTCTTCATCACATAATGTGCGACCTCCAATTTCAATCCAAATGGAACATTCTTCCATATATTTGCATTTCTCTGGCATTATGATTTATTCTTTCTAAAGTTGCAAGAAGCTAACGACGGGGTCACATCACTTTCGCTGTCTTGCAGCGCGGTGACAGTGAGCTGGAAGATTTGCATTCAAAGAAATTGCTGTCTCCGCGCCATGGTCATGGAAACACAGTGGATCCATGACAGTCTTATGAACCATGAGTATAAGTCTCTCTGGGGAAATTTTATACACATATCTACACTGCATCTGTGGGCGAGTGTGAACTTACGTACTGCGATGCACACCGTGCGCTACTGAAGACTTCTTCCTCATGTTAGAGCTCATTTCCAACTTGTCCGCCCTGCAATTAGCCACGGTGCCTGCTCTGCTTCTCAGTAGAAGGCTCTATGGAGGTAGACGCCGCCATTCAAGGTGATCAGGGTGTCTCAAGATGTAGATCAATAGCAGCTTCAACATGAGCAAGAAAGTCCCGGAAATTGTTGTTTGAGGAGCCATGTTCGCCCACGCTTTCCTCAGCCAGTAGCTTCATCCGGCGAGCATTCTCTCTCACAGCAGTACCTTCCTCGCCGTGAAACAAGCTTTTCACAGCCTTCTCCACATCCTCTCTGCCCACGAATCCGCCAGCAAGCAAATTCGGGCAGACTTCAATTGCAAGATGCGCCTCGTCCACTAAGAACCTGTAAAACAACATTCAGATTCATCAGACAAAGGACACCTCAACAATCAATCAGATTACAGTGGAAAGAGAAGTGACTGCCGACAGAGGGGACCACACCAACAGCTTCACCGGTGGAATAACGAGTCGACGAAGACTTTATAGAAAGATGAGCGCCGGAGAGAATCCCTCGAAACCTATACAGGAGTTAGCGATACCAGTCTAGAATAGTCTATGGTATTTATTGCTATGCTACATTTTTGGTAACTAACTAGTGATGTAAAGGAATGTGTGTTGAATCCCGAACACTGTGTGGTGAGATTTTCTATTGGGGAGTATATGGAGGGACGAGGCACACCTGCAGTTCGCGAATTGGTCACCTTTACAAGGCCACGCCAGCATGGGCACTCCCATGCTCATGCTTTCCAACATGGAATTGTGGCCACAATGAGAAAGAAAACCTCCTGTTGATGGATGGGAGAGAACGTCGCCTTGAGGTGACCATGACACGAACAAACCTCTGCTTCCGATACGTGATAGACAATCCGCTGGTAAAATCGAAAATATATCTCGTTGCTGCTCGTCTGATTCCGAAGATCTCATGGGAGGATGCAGGACACACAAGAACGGCTGCTGGCTACTCTCCAGTCCGTAAGCCAGTTCCCTCATTTGCTTTTCGGAGTGGTTGACATCGGTTCCAAACGCAACATATAAAACAGAAGCTGGAGCTTGCGAGTTGAGGAACTCGATGCAGGGATGCAATTCCTCATCTCCAGTTTCCGCAACATTAACATCTGATCTCCTCAGGCGAGAAAGGTTTAGGTACGTCGGTCCAATGGTCCAGACGAGCGGCATCTGCTCTCAGACAATCAGATGTTACACAAACAGCTGAAACGAATCTCACGTAAATTATCTTCCACAACAGATCTGCAAGAGTTTGAACTATCCGTTGCAAAAGAATCAGATTCTACTGTAAGCATCCTAAGAATCGTTATCCAGCTCAGAAATTCGTTGATACAGTCTCGTTCGGATTTTTGTTCGCAGGGACGGAGCAAAACCTTTATGCGGTTCTTGTCAGAACAAATCTGCAAAACTTTCTCCAATGCACGGAATCCTCTGGGATCCAACTCTCGGAAACCGCTGAAAATAATCATATCAGAGTTCAGCAGAGATTCCAAACTCCGGCGACCGAGGTCATACAAAGGGTATTCCTTGAAGTTCACCCCGCTTAGGTCACACATCCTTATAAGTGGCAGACCGGGAACGCTGACGAGTTCTTCCTCACATCTTTTATCCGAGATGGAATCCGGTAAGCTCAAAATCCCCTTCGACACGAGCTGATTGATGTAAAGGTTGGCTGCTGTATAAGACGCAGAGACTGTAATGAGGGGTAACGATGGAACGTTGAATCGAGTAGCCACCTTCTGCAGGCCATTGCCACCCACATAACAGCCTACAGAATTAGAATCCTACGGAAGAGTGCAATTAAACTAGCCGCAGATTTTTTCCCGAGTAGGCCATTACCACGGTTATTCTGAACTGTCGTCCCACTGTTTCCGGTCCAATAATCGATACACAAACATGCTTATGTTGACTCAGGTCCTCATATTCACTCACCCTTACTCCAGGCACTGACAGGTCTGAAACAATGCAAGTAGGTCTGAACTCCCCTTCCAGTTCAGATTTCAGAATCTCCTCAAAAATGTCCTCTGTCTGCTGAATCGGGGCTACAAATCTATGTGGTCCACCAACACCACCAGCCATCACAGCTGGTTGTATTGGCAAAATTTTGAGATGGATGTCCAGACCTTGGACCTTCCAGTTTTCGATCTGCCTCCGAGTGTGAGAAGTGAGTAATCGCTCTATGTAAGCGTCGGGCGCGAACAAAGTGACAGCCAGCCCATGCCTGCCAATTTGTTCGGCCAATTGTGTAGCGCCCACAGTATGACTGAAGAATGGTACAGTCACGATCCAGACACGAGGCTTCGGTGTTGCATTCATTGACGCTCCTTTGAAGCAAAGAGAAGCTCTCGTCTCGACTTTGAACTGCGCTCTCCTCTCTGTATCTGCAGGCCTAGGCTCAAATTCTGCACACTGCTTGTCGGAGGTGGTTTTCAAAATATACGGTCGTTCTGCTCCGACAGTTGCTGTCGATGTAGTTCCGACCTTGAAGGTCCATGGCAGTCTGAACACAAAATGAAACAGTACTGTCCAGGCTTCGCTCTTTCTGTTTTCATCCCAGAACTTCGGATGCTTTTGCCCCCAACAACAGATCAACCGGAAAGAAAGCATTGGCCTTGTACTTGGCGGGGGCCCAGAGATGAAGGACACGTGTGAGCCTCCCATACATTGACTATCGTAGGGTCTGAGGCTTCAGAGGAATCGAGGCCCTTACATGGCTGCCAGAAGGGATTCGCAATCTGATTGGTAGAGAACAATAATACACGTGATAGATAAGAAAGTTGTCGGTACGTGCAATGATCTTATCAGCATTCCCATCTTCGAATCAGATCGATAAATTAGCAGAACCATCGTCTAGGAAAATTATCTTGACGCTTCCTCGTCTGGTACTGTGAACGGTGATACTTTTTATATTCTCGAACAAAAGTGGACAAATCTAGAATTATAGGAAAAAGACGAAGACTTCATCAAGAAGGTAACCAAACGGGCAGCACTTGGCTATCCCCAACAGCATCTCAATGGCAAATACCTTCTATAACCAACGTATGGAGCGCACCACCTCGTTACCTTTTCATAGCAATGAAAAGGTAAGGTGGTGGTGCAGAGCTTTAACGAGGCTCTGCCATGTCTGCAGGCAGAAAGTTCACATTCTGCTTTTGCCGAAATTTACCAACAGCAGGCTGAGAGGTTGACAGCGTGTCAAGGTGTGCGTCACCGCATTCACACGGTTAATCACGAAGAAGACTTCTATTTAACATTTTTAAAGCTAACGTTAGTTAACTTTTTCTAAACAGTTGCTATCTACTTCCATGTTTTCTATATTGAAAATGTTCAAAACGTCTAGGAGAATCAAAAGAAAAAAAAAATCATTTAAAATGATCCTTTTATGTTCTATATTCTTAAGGATTATTTTTTTGTCCAACTAGTTAATTAATGGATTTATCTTCCATTTCTGAAACATTTCCATTTCATTTCATTTTTTCGCCCTCCGCTCCGCCATTAAGCTTGTAACTATCTCTCTTTAAAACAGGTTCAAGATTCTGTCGTCTCGAATGCGCTAAAAAGACAAAGAAGTGCTCGCTCTTCGGACCCAATGGGTCCGAAGAGTTTCTGTATGAAAAAAGGGCCGAAACGTTCAACATGAAGACCCGGCCGTTGAACTTTCCTTCCATTGTTTTCTCGGACAAAATAAATCTCCCCTCGGGTCCGAAGGACACTTCAAACCCATAAAATAATTGTTTCTGCTCTTCGCGCCTTCGGCCCTCTCGCATATCGTTCAGCCACATTAGGGGTTTGCTACGAAGATCTACTGATATTAGGTGAATACTCAGAAATCAATATACTACTTCGAATCGTCGTTTTTGAGGATGATAGTCAACTCCACGTAAGCCGGAAGCCGCAATGGTTGCGAAAGGAACGACTGGGGAAGGTTAAAACATCAGATTTGGGCGACTTTGCTTGGCTTTTTGAATCAGTCGTCTGCCCACTGGACGATACATGTGACTATACAACATGTCAAAGGAAATTATACTTTAACATGTTCTTGGAGGTATTCATCAAGAAAAGGTATCTTTTTTCACTGATATGTATGTGGAGCTCTAGCGCAAATTCTCAACAACAATAATTCTATGTACATAATTTATGTAGAAGATTGCATAAAAATCATGTAACCCCCTAGGCTGTCTAAAGAAAAAATGATGATTTTGCATGCCCCTACACTCGAGTAGAGATTCTTATCCTGAGGATAAGAATCTGAATCTTCTACATAGATTATGTACATAGAATGATCGTTCAAGATCATGGTTGGTAAACCCTTTTGTACTTGTATAAGTGTAAAAATCTGTACATGTACATATATATTATGTTATTATTGAGCTAAGTATAGATCTGAACTGAGGTCTAAATATTTTCTCATCACATACATCATTGCATAATTGAGAGCTATATTCTTTACTCCAGATGCACAAGTGATATGCAAATGACTAGTATTACGATTAGAGTTTACTAATGAAAATTGATGTAAATGAACCAAAACTTAGGCAAAACTTCACCATAGTAACAAGAAATACTTGGCATGTACAATTGTAAAGTGCCAATCTAAAGCTCATATCATAGAGGTGCATCCTCCTATTGAATAGTAATTTAAAAGTCGATCACTCAATAGTAGTTCTATGCTATTTCTTATCATGATCATATGTAATGTCAGATTTGTTTTCTTGAGCAGTAGATGAGAAACAACATAATACTCAAATCACAATCTTTTTACCTCCAGCTTAGCTTGGTATATTTTCTTAAAAGTCACATGCAATAAGTATTTCATTCGATTTTTTTCCCCAGTAGATTACGTCATTAGAAAAAATATCTAAGTTTTAAGAAATATTTCAAGAATTCAATTCTCTTTTGATTGTGTACATTTTCAATTTTAAGGTCACAGTCCGATATGAATATGTTACAACATAAGCACAAAAAAGCTCATAGATGTATAAAAATAGGAATTCTTATATTTTTATATATTTTTGTATCAACATCATAAAATTGGAAGATTTACAAAAACTCATGAAGATTGAATATTATAAATGTGACGTATTAATTATGTTGAGAGATATACAATTTACAAGCTAGAATAATGGAAAAAAAATTAAAGATTCTTGTCTAAGATTTGAAAGCAATCATTCTTGTATGAAAGGTATATTTTGAATCAATGGATACAATGATTTATATTTACATGATCATTATACACTAGAATTTGATGTAAATTTGTATGAATACACTTTATATACATTTTCTATGCAATGAAGATATATGTTTATCAATATTCAATGTAATATAAATGGTTTGTTAGACATCTTCACTCACTATTATCTGCAATAAACTCTTTAATTATGTAAATTCAATCACAATCAAACACAGTAACTTATATTAATTGTTTTAATAACCATTTTATTAGCATAAAAACTTGAAATAGTAATACATATCTTTTTTGCAGTTCTTGCCACTTTTTTAAAAAAAATTTAGTAATGAAAAACATGCATATGAATTTTATTTTGCTTACATCTTGGCAATTCAAAAAAAAAACACCCTAGATTTCTTTTAGAGATTCATCTTAGTTTACTTGTTAAACTTCAAAACTTTGTCTAAAAAGTCAAAGCATGCGAATAGTTCACATATCTGAAGCATTCATTATATGAGAATATTCAATTGGTATTTGATTTTGATCTTAATTTTTCATCTTTTCATCCCCCTCCATTGAACAAAACTGAAATAATCGCTTTTTTCCAGTTTTTCAAGGTTTACTTGCATACTGAACTGAAATAAAAGTTATGCCTTGATCAATGAACCTTTCAAACTTTCGATTGAAAATTTCAGTTTTTGCATTTTCTTCAAAAAATTTGGTCACTTATATTTTATGAATGGATTTTCAATGGAAAAAAAATTATATATATCATCAGAAATTTCTGGGCTTTCAATTTTTGAAAGTTACGAATAAATATTCTTGGTTCATCACATAAAATTTATTATATTTGAAGTTTATTTTCAAATATGATTTTGCATTAATTGATATTTCTGAAGAAAAATTTGAAAATTGTTACTTTGCATGAAGTAATGACATATAATTATACACATATAATAAAATTTAAAATTTCATTATAAATATGATTTCAAAATTAATTGTAGTTAACATTGTAAATAAAACTATATTTCAAAGAAAATTTTAAACTAATAGAAAATCGAATTAATTTCAATTTTCAATTTCAATTAAATTTCTTTTTTTAAAAGCCAAATTTGCAGCCTCGATTTGTGTTTCATCACCCTTGTAGTCAATCTTGTTTTGATTTTCCTTTCACTTTTATTGAAGTCATTTCATACCTATTTTAAGTAAATGACACATCTAGTAGAAAAATTACTTCTTGCTAGTTGAGATTCTTTAACTCTCATATTGATAATGCTTATGATACAAACATGATCTATACATGATCTATCTTAGATGTACATTTAACGCTCCATATGTGTTTCATCTCTTTCGTTGATCTTCAATGTATTCATTTCAAGTTATGAAAATTCTAATCAAAATTCGTGCAAGGTGTATGTACATTGTGTTTGATTGCCTGTTGGTGGATTTTAAAAAAACCCCACGTTAGATTATGATTCTAATGTATTGGCTGAAATTACATGTCAATAACATGTATTTTCATTGTGATGTTCAACATCTGATTGATCCTCTAATGATGTAATTCATAATGATTGTGAATTTCATATGTATGACAACAATTTTATGATGACCTGTAAATAAAAGAAAGCCGTCAAAAGTGAAATTTATATCTTGGAAGCTTTGGATTACTCCAAAGGTTCCGATTTTATGTTTCATTTAAGTATGAAAATCCTCTTTTTAAATCATAAAAGAAATTACTCTTACATTGAGTATCATTCAGTTATGTATCAAAGTTATGATAAGCAAAGGGATAACATTCGACTATATTGTATTTCAGTTTTTTATTTACAGATTTAAAGTCATCTTCTTATAAAAAAATTTTGATTCAATATTCATTATACATTTTCAAACATAATTAATTAACTATGAGAGTTCTTAGAATTTGTTAATTACAAAGAAAAAAATATTTCTTTTTGATTTCCAAAGTAAAATATTGCAAAGTTCTTTAAGAAATGTATGCCATTTACGTTTTTTTGTGCTACATCTGTCGCTTCACTAACTGTAAACATAAAGTTTTATTTTCTTCAATTATCTAAATTTGAAACCATACTTGAATCTACTCATATATTTTTAAATTAAAATTTATTATTATTTATCTAATTGTATTTTTCTTCTTGAATATCTATGCAACAATTTTTCCTACCATATTTATTACGATGATTTTGCGATTATAGTAGATAAAATATTTCTGATCTACAATGGTTTGAATGATGGTTCAAACAAACTTGCTGACTCTATATCATACACTAATATTATATAGGATAATATCTTAAAGTAATTCGATGTGAGAACTAACATGTATTAGAGGCATTATTAGTTTCCTCTTGATTGATTTACTCAAATTATGTAGTAATATAGAATATGACCGAAGATTATGAACCAAACATAGATCAATAAGCACTAATTTCAGAATTCAATCCAGTCACTTTCGTCCTCAGCCAATATTATTCATTTCGGGCGTATGTGAAGAACCTCCCATTATATTTGTCTATATATTTAATTTTACTTCAATTGCGTGCAACGAGGGCATTTGGTCTAGTGGTATGATTCTCGCTTCGGGTGCGAGAGGCCGGGAGTTCGATTCTCCCAATGCCCCGGTTTTACTCATCTACAACAGCTATGTATTGGTCCTATTGCTTTAAACAGAATTACTAATAAGCTTTAAAGTGTTTGACTCGACAATATATTGTTTATGACTTCAAATTTAACTATGCAGAAATAGGCACCAAGGGCATTTGGTCTAGTGGTATGATTCTCGCTTCGGGTGCGAGAGGCCGGGAGTTCGATTCTCCCAATGCCCCACCTGTTTGCTTACCTTTATTGCAGCTACAAATGAGTCCTACTGCTTTATACATGAATGTTAATAGGCTTTTAAGTGTGTATATGACTCGACAAAATACTACTGATTGCTGCAAAAGCGATCACGGGTTTCTGAATGCCACCTCGCAGGCGAGGTAAAACAGGAGGCAACCAGGATTGAACTGATGACCTATCGGACTGCAGCCGATTGCTCTACCACTGAGCTATACCTCCTGGTTGTCATTTATATAGATCAATTTATAATAAAATATAAAGTAGTTTTGCCGTTTTCGGGGAAATCCCACTACAGGTGTTGGGTTGGTTTGAATTGCAGGTCTCTTCAATCTCCACGTCCAACGTCCGTTCGTTTCGACTCTCTCGATTTATCGTTTCGAAGTTCTCATGGGAATGAGAAGAGATTTCTCGAGCTTTCAAAAGGCACGTCGGTTGGTCCGTCTAGTAGGTTCACTTGTACTCAGAGGCACGAGAGCTCCACACCGACATGTAGGGTTCAGAGATCGATTGTGAGTGCTCGGAAAGTTTGATCGGGTATCATGCGCAATTCAAATTTGGAATGCTCAAGACGACGCGGTTGCGCGGAGAAACAATGAAGGTTCAATTCCAGGAAGTTCTCTAACTGTGATGTCACAATATATCAGTAAGGCAGTGCCGCAGACTTCATCTTAATTGCTGATTATGTGATATAGTTCGATCCAGTCAGATAAGATAAACTAGTTGCCACTCGTTACGATCGTTCGCGAGTATCTCACAAGTATAATGCCATATAATATAACAAATCTCCTGATCATTCCCTCCTGTCGACGGGGTTCTTCTCTGTCGATAGAGCTCCACTGAAATACGTTCATGATCGTCGTAACAGGGTTTCGACAAATCTGAAAGAAGTGCAGGCACACATCAATTTAACCACCTTGCAGAAATTTCCTGCACTCACCGCGTTTTCCACCAGCTCTACGCTTCAGCTTCTCTATATGAGCTCACGAAATTGGACTCAAAATTTAAGAGATCCAAACCTCTTTGAAATCCCTTTTTTCGAAAATCTTCGTCTCACAGTCCATGGAAAGAGAGCTTTTAAGGGTCAAACGATAGTTTGGGTATATGGGAGCCATACCTGACAGTAACAAGGTTGATGATAAAGGCCGCCGCATTCCAAGGCAATGGGTGAATAAAGCTCTTGAGAGAGTTCACGGCAGAAAAGAAAAACGATCTGATCACGTGCGATGAATCCTCCTGGTTGAAGAGGAACTACAGATCGATGTTCTCAAACGTATTGTACCGTGGCGCTGACACGTAGTTTAAACCTTGTTATCACGAAGGCCCGGCCCACGATTTCAACTAGAATTTCCTTACCGGTAAGCGGTCGGAAGAAGTCGTAGTTGTGTGAAATCGGTCAACCGAAACATACAGATAAATCGACTTAAACCCAAGAGCGAAAGAAGAGTAAAATCGTAGTTGCTTCAACATTCCGACAATGCCTGACCTGTCGGCCTCGGACTCCTCTGCTGGCAAAGATTCGGGTGCAAGTGCCACTTCAGCCAAATTAAATCCACCCACTACTGCAGCCCCACCGCCTGCTTTCAAGCCCTCCCGAGCCACAGACAATGACACATACTTCGATCGTTACTTTAAGCCTTTACCTGGTGATATCGTCCTGTGCGAAAAGCTCGAATTCGAAAAGAAGGATAAGACGGTGAAGAAAGTCAAGAAGGTGAAGAAGAACGAGAAGACCGAGAAGGAGCCGCCGGTGCTGGCCAAACGAGCCGTGTCACTTTACTATGAAGGATTCGACAAGAGCCAGTTTCATCCGGGCGACTACATTCTTCGAATAGGGATGTTCGAACTGTCAAGGGCAGCGGATACGCAGGAACAGACAGATGAGTGGTGTTGGAAGGATCTCAAACTTGCCACTCTCCACGTCTACTGGCCCAACTACCACTCGAGAGGCGATTGGTTTCTGGTGGCAAAGTTTGTCCTCCAGAAAGGAATCAGGGGCATAATCGATCCGGATGCATACCGGCTGCCCAGAGACTTCAAAGAGGATCCGAAATTCAAGGAATCCCACGGCGACATCATCCTGCGGAGGATCAAAATTGCGGACCCAACGCGGCCGTGGGGATGGGCCTTCAAGCCATTTCAGCTGCAAGAATACTGGATCGACAGCGACCTGCAACCCGCGGACATCGTGGTGCACGTGCGAGGGCACTTCTTCCCGGAATTCAGAGGCCGACCCGAAGAACGAGACTCCCCATACACACTACAACAGAGTTTGTTCCGCTTGGAAGCGGACTGCTGCTGGTGCGATCCCGTGAGCCAGAAATGGTTGTACGGGGGGCAGGCAGCGCACAACTTCAAGGTCAAAGCGACTCAGAACTGGATCACGCAGGAGAGGTTTCACGCCGTGCCCAAGCCCGGCGACATTCTCATCACGCAGGGCGAGAATCTGCTCAAGCCCATCACTGACACCAACCACGAAGGCAGCTACGTGCAGATTTACAACGAGCGCCGGTTCTTCTACCCCGGCAACCCGCCCCTGGCCACGGTGAACGTCCGCGGGCCCGGGAACATGGCGGTCCGCTTCGGCCACTTCGACGAGCACTGGGTCTGGGAAGAGCACGCGGCGCTGCAGCTCTTCCACTACCACGAGAACCACGGCGCCTGGTACACGCTGGGGCCCGTCGTGCTGCCGCACCTGTGGACCAATCGGCCGGACTACAAATTCGAGCAGCGCCCGCTCGCGCTGAACTCCGTCGCGGCGGACCTGATTCCCCGCGACGGCGACCTCGTCATTCGGAAACCGCTGGCGCCTCCGCCGAAGCTGCCCTCGCCGCTGGAAAGCAAGCCCGACCTCAGGACGCACTCGTACTTCGAGACGAAGGACGACGAGCTGAGCCCCAGCCCCGACCCGTTCTGGAAGCGGGTCATGAAGGTGGTGCCCTTCAGCGCCGAGCACATCCGACGGTACCCGCTGGTTCCGGGCGACTGCATCCTTCGGGCCGGGCTCGAGACGGCCGGGCCGCTGTCCCGCGCCAAGTACAACGCCACGGCCGAGCTGTACATGCTCAGCCTCGACCACTGGGATCGGAAGGTTTGGGTGTTCCGAGGTCGGGACAAGACGTTCTTCGGAGGACCCGCGCCGGAGCCTTACGTGGAGGACTACGATAGGGCGATGAAGATCCCGCATCACGAGCCCGTCAAGCGCGACCTGCGGCAGCCCGTCGGATCGGTGCCGCGCCTGCCGACGTCCGCGTCTCGGCGCGTGGCCGGCAAGTCGAGGGACTCGCGCTTCATTCTGCTCGAGAGGGCGAGAAGCGACGCGGCGACGGTGAAAGTGTCGCCGTCGGCGTTCAAGGATATGCTGAAGCAGACGCTGATGGGCGACCCGCCCGGGCAGGCGTCGGGCAAGAGCGGGCCGGTGAAAGTCACGCCGGCGACGTTCAAGAAGATGCTCATGGGTGGCCCGTCCGGCAGCGACTCGCCGGACCGAGCGGGAGCGGTGAATATCTCACCGCTCGAGTTCTCGCGGCGGCTCAAGGCGATGGCGGATGCGTCGCGCGTCCCGGCTCCAGTCGTCGACGCGGTGGAGGTCCCGACGTCGGATTACCGAAAGCTGTTCAACGAATACAAAAGCGAGGGGCTCAGCACCTCGTCGCCGGCGAAAAGCCCGGCTGAAGGGGTGAATGTCTCACCGCTCGAGTTCTCGCGGCGGCTCAAGGCGATGGCGGATGCGTCGCGCGTCCCGGCTCCAGTCGTCGACGCGGTGGAGGTCCCGACGTCGGATTACCGAAAGCTGTTCAACGAATACAAAAGCGAGGGGCTCAGCACCTCGTCGCCGGCGAAAAGCCCGGCTGAAGGGGTGAATGTCTCACCGGAGGAGTTCCGCAAGATGCTCCACGAAGTTCTAGCCGCCTCGGCTCGCCGCTCCTCTCAGAGGAAACCGATTAAAGAGCCCCTGGAAGTTTCGTTGGAAGAGGCCCAACCCATGTTCCACGATCGGGTCCAACGCGGATACGCCAAGGCCCGCGCGCGGGTGAAAAAACCCCAGCCGGTAGAAATCTCAATGGAAGAGTTAAGCCAGCGGATCAAGCAGGTCGTACGAGGACGCCCCAGCGGCTCCGCGCCGCGGGCTCTGAAGCATTGGCCTCTCGGGCCGCTGCCTCCCGGGCCTCTCTTCCGGCCCGAAGACGATCTGGACGATCCATCGTCGGCCCGAGATGACATTGCCCCGATCCCTCCGGCGGAGTTCCGGCAGATGCTCCACGGCATGATAAGGAAGGGCGACGACGCCTCCGCGCCGTCGAAACTGGCGAATATCTCAGCAGAGGAGCTCAAGAGGATGCTGGCGGACGTCATGAATGAAGCCACCGGCGGCCTCTCGGCCCTGCCGGCGAAAGGCGCAGACGTCAAGGTGAATGTCTCGCCGGCGGAGTTGAAGAAGATGATTGAGCGGGCGCTGATCGGCGACGAGCCGCCGGTGACGGGCGAGATCAAAGTGTCGCCGGTGCAGTTCAAGCGGATGCTCAAGGAGAGGCTTTTGGACCCCAGTCCCGAGGAAAATCAGTCGAAGCCTGGGAATCCATCGGATCTCGTGAAGGTGTCACCGATGGAATTCAGACAAATGCTCTTCTCGACGAAAGGCGACCCACCTTCGGAAGGACCTGCGACGAATTTGGTGAAAGCTTCCCCATCGGAGTTCAGAAATCTGCTCATCAATCAGATGTTGAAGGGGATCTAAACTGAGAACATTTGACCTGACAAGGTCCTCGCTCTCGCGACGCATCTCCTTCTCGCCGTCCTCCGAACGAAACAAACCATACTCGCCTAGTGGTGACCATGATCTTCTTGTTGTCAAAAGACACCAGAACCTTGTGTTACTCGACGCTAAAAGAGGGCCGAGTGCATAGCAAAAACGATGAGACGGATAACTCAACGCGAGGACATAAGATGGACCCAACGATCTTCTGGCGTCAGAAGGAAAGGATGTTACGAAGAATTACTTGTTGAATGCGGCATTTATGAAGAAATGTTTCGTTTCCGACATTTGTTAACACAGTGGTCACAATATCTTTGGATTCTCCAAGAACGTAAAGACTGTGAATGACATCGGTCTCTATCATCATCATTCGTAAATGTTATCTTGTGAGAGTCCAGCGTGACACACATCATTCTACCATAGTCTCGAAAACCTTTTTACAGACTTGTGGGTCACTTAGTTCTTCAATTGCCGGGAAAATCTTCCCAACTGTGACAACATTCTCTGTTGCAACAAAGGAAGACCAATTTAGAGGGTGGTGCCGTGCATCGTTTCCCTCCATCATCATGATCGATTGTAGGGACGGCGCCATCACTACAACTCGTGTGTTCAACATCCATTCTTCGACTCTTCAGTGACACATTCGCCTCTGTAGCCTGCGGTTTCGGATCTCAAAAAGTTCAACCTGAAACCTTGAGCACTTATGGAGTTCAATGCAACATATTCATACTCGATGAACCTAGATACTCCAAGCATGTACAGTCCTTAGTGGAAGCCTCCTAACCCAAATATAGCTTCGTTTGCATATGCTCCATGATCAATTAGAAATGGTCAAAAATGAAAATAAGGTGGTCAACCTCGAAGAATCTGATATGATCTTCGGTGCATTTAGGGCATTTCATTGGTTTGGAACGTGGAAGGTCTTCGATGGGGTGAGCATTGAAACGTGTACGAGGAGGTTTGAGTTTCTTGCAATATACAACGTTGCTCTTTGCCATCTCCTGCAAGAGTGAAATCTTAGAGACTGGACGAGGCTGTCATTCGTGGGACAATTCAGAAGAAACATCGAAAAGCGTTTAGTCCAAAACACAAAACCTACCTCATGGTCGCACTTGCTGCACCCGTAAAGCAGTCCTCGATCAGAAATCTTCGGGTACAGCAAGTCATCGCTGCAGAATAGAATACTCAGTCAGACGAAGTAGTGTGCAGCTAAGACTGGAACTGGACAAGTTGACACCCCATCGAGCACTATACCTCAAGCCGAATCTGTTGCTTACCACTTCGGGCAAAACTTCTTCATGCTCATAGCTGTGGCAGAGTTATTACTTTTGAACTCGACAACCTGGAAAAATAGGAGAGTACAGATCATCGACACCTATTTATTGCTACGAGACCTCGTTGAGTGTGCACGTTTCGTTTTGTGACCTTTGAGATCCAAGCAGCCTTCCATAATGTGTCTGGTAGTCGACAGGCCACATTCGAGGTCTGGGATTTTATGTGCGTTCAAATCCTGGAAATCTAAAGCTTTGCTCCTGCCCTTGTTAGTGATACCGTCAGTTCCTCATGTTTAACAACGAATGTGCCGCTACTTCCAATGTGTCAGAGGCGCTGTGAAGAAGATAATTTCGCGAGACACGTCGTGTACTTCTCAATGAAGAAGAAAGTATTGGGCGAGACTTCTTCATATTGGTCAGCTTTGATTTATGGGGGCAGGTATTGTAGTGGGCATTATAACTCGAGGTTCAAGTGCAACCCATCAACCATCAATTTCCTTTCTACTGCACAGCTGTTTCGTCAAGGTCCAACGGCAAAGGAGAAACCTTGAATTGTGACTGCGATTTCAACGTCTAAACCTTACAAATTTAGGAAATCTCTACGAGGCTTTGAGCATTTCGACCCAAGTTAGCCCGTTGACACTAACAAAAGGTCACGCAGGAAACGAATGGAGCTCATGAACACTTGTCAGAAGATTTTGTAAACGTTAGTTCCCAGTTGGTTTCGAGCTTTCCAGGTTTGGCCCCAATTTATAACTTGCAAGGACTGAAGGAGCCTTAGAAACTGCACCATAAACCTGCTCCTCAAGGCAGTATCTTCAGCGAAAATTAGGACTGACCATGAAGTTATCTCTATATTCACAGCAGGCTTTCAGGAAAAACAATTGCTTCCAAACAATAATGTCAGGAGCTGCGAGACGTGACTTATCCAAAGGATAAAGCTGAAGACTCCAATCACCTTCCATGAACTTGAACTAGCTTTGATACTTCAGCTGTAAAACCTGAGGTTATAGTAACACTTGCGATGAAATTCTGAGATTCATAAAGTTGATGTAATGGTTCTCGAAATTTTGATTGTAGTCTGAATTCTTTGGACCAGACAGGCAGTTGTGTAGATTTTCTTGATCACAGCCTGGAAATGGTAAACTTAAAGAGCTTCTAGCATGGAGAGTGGAAACCCATGTAAGCCCCAGACTGGAACTGTTGCCACACATGCAAACCTCCAAGACTACCCATAAGAATAGCGCTGATCCCGATAACAAACGCCACGACAAATACGATCAAGGACGCTCTGCCGTACTTATTAAGAATTCGTTGCACAACCAAAATACCCACAGCAGAAAATAGTGCCGATAAGGCTGCTGCAGTGAGGGCCCAGTTTACTGGGACACGGCCCATGATCCAATACTGAACCACAGACATGGAGGCCGAAAAAACGACTATAAAACCTGATGTCGCTGCCGTCACCTGCCAGAGAACAGAACATTTGAGTTGGTTGTGCACATTCGATTCTGGAGAACTGAGTGGATACTTCGGAATAAGATCAACTTTATGCATTTATGAGGGAAACGTTTATCAGCTCGACAAATCACCTGGGGGTGCATTCCGGCTGACATGAGCATGGGATTGATGATCATAGCTCCTCCGATTCCTAGCATTCCTCCGAGGATACCTGTTAATAACGACATCTTTGTGAACGATGAGCTCGCTTCTGGTGTCAGCACAAAACCATCGTCCTGCACAGAAGCGGAGAACACAGATCAAATTCAGGCTGAAGACAACTTGGAACAACAGAATTCCCTATAACTTAAGCATCAAAAGTTCTCAGTGCAAATTGAGAGAAGAGACGAAAATTGTAGTCTTTGACTGTATTATAGAGGAAATGTGGGATATAACAGTTTGGTCTATATTACTGTAATGGAAAAGCTTCCCCATGACTACACCGTGTGATCGTTGAACGTCATCCACAAGGATACGTAGTTTGATGATTCTTTACCACATTGGAGGACATGTGGGGCTTACCGCTGACTGTAAAGCATTTTTAGATGTGTCGGCAGAGTGCTGATTCTTGAGAACAAAGTACGTCACGATCAGCGCCAGTGGTACTTGAGTTGCAGTGAGTAGCCAGTAGCCAAAACCGCACTTGCTCTGCAAAAATACGTATTGCAAATCAGCAAGACGTCTCGCATCCTAGCAACGAGTACTTTGTCACATAGGAGTTGCGAGACAACAAGCCTTCTAAATGGACACGTAGTTTCAGGTACTTGCGATCTCTGTTGGAACAAGACCAGGATATCATATGATAAACTTATTGTTGCAAAGTTCTGAAGCCACAGTCATCTGCTGAGCCAATGTACAGACAGTGCAAACTATTCCACGAGATTTTGTAAATTCCCAGCTTAAGGAGAAAACACATTATACTACCGTGTTTGCATTACAAGAAGTATATGCTACTAGATCACGGACGGAATTAGCAAAATTCTATCACAAATAGATTGTACCTGTCCACCTCTTCCTTCCCTTAGAACTTGCACGGCACCAAATGCCAGCCACACTAGCGCCAGAGCTAGAATCTTCTTCGTGGGAAACCTGGATGTACTGTGGCGATCGAGCAGAGGTTCCCTGAGGCTACCAGATGGTCCACCAGACGTATTTGGACTCTGTGCAACAGTCTTCGTGCCTGCAGTCCGACTGGACAAGGCCAATTGCTCTGACTCCTTGTTCCAGCGTTTCACTCCACTTCTATACGAGTTCACGGTCAAGTAAGTGAGCATCAAAATCAGCAATAGAGTAATGATCCAATTCGGGAACATGAAGTTCAGGATTACTCCCACGCTAATTCCCAGAAGTAGATTCGGCTGAAGGAGAAGAGCTGCATCGAAGTCTATAAGAGGTTTTCCTGGATGATCGGGGTGAGTTCGAGCCAGATTCATGAGCAAAGTTATAGACTGCCCCCCTACAATCATGAAGTTGGACAGGGCTGCCGAAGTTTTAGAATCGAACTGCAGCAAAAGATTGAAGAGAGGCACGAAGAGACCTCCACCACCTAGGCCTGCAGCCGTACAGAGACTGGCACCAATTCCCCCTAGTATAATGGCCGCTACCGAACGAGGGTTGAGCTGGAGTTCGGGCCAGTGAGAATCTTCTCCTTCATCCGGACGAGTAATGCTGCTCGTGAAATTTGCCCACCACTGCATTTCACCCATCCTTCCATCAGTTGTGACCATACCATTCAGCCTGCGCGATGACAGAAGATGAGGACTGATCGCAGCGTCAGCTCTCGCGCAGGAGACAAAGACCATGGTAGAGAACAAGCAACATGCCGCCACCACCAGCCTGGGTGATGCCCAGTTTTGAATTGCCATCGGTTTTATCTATGTTGCTTGTCAAAATTCCTCAGAAACGCTCAGCCGAACGACACACCCGATCTTTGACATTCAATCCACAAGTTCTGGGCCTTTGAGGAAGGCCGTATTTCCACGAACAGAAGACTTTGCGTAGTGGTGGCGCAATGTCCATGAAGTTAGCATGGATCCCTTGCTATCACTTCTGGAGTCGAGGACCATGGATTTCTCCAACCAGTTATTCGGATGGCCTCGAGGGATTCTCGCCCTCTTCTGGGTGTTCAGTGTGCAGTCAGCACGAAGGAGCTGCGTCAAGGACCAGGTTCAGAAAACGTTGTCCTGTTCCTGAATGTTGTCTTGGCCTGTATGTCTTCCGCATCTTACGCCAGTTTTCTTGTTCCCACTTGTTGGGCCAGTTGACGCTCTTTCTGACAACTGTGTTCATACGAACGAACTTGTGCTCATTCGAAGCTCACTGTCAGAACTTTTATGCTCTCTAGTTCCAATCTTGTAACATGAGCCAGCACGTTTTTGGATCCATCGAACTAGGATTGCAGATTCCCAGCCGCATGTGTTCCTTCGCGTGTTTCGCTTCTCAGAAAGTTGGCAAAGCATCTCTGTCTCCTCAAAGATGATGCTCGGCTGCATGAACTCTCTGAATGAACGGAAGAAAGAGACTCCTTGCAATGCAGCAAAAATACTTCGTTTGGTGAGGTGGGGATATCCTCAAGGTTGTATTTCCTTCGAGATTTTTTCCTTGAAGACCGGGCAGGACCATCGCGGTCTCCTCAGGTCGAAGCAGACAGATCCATTACTTCGTGGTCGCCTGCCACAATGTACTTCCTGCAACGTAGTGTGCGAGTCGATTATGTTATCTGTCAAAGGCGATCATGATTCTAAGTGACAAGGGGTCGAGATCGAAACGGTTTCGGAGTTGGAGCATGGAGCAAGAAAATCAGAAACAATGCTCGCTTTCCGCAGTGTGGTGCAATTGCGACGGATTATCCCACCGTGCACTACACAACCACGATTCAGACTCGTATACTTGGTTGTTTCCCGCCCGCCCGCCCGGTCATGCGCTATTAATAGACGATTATTTATATTTTCTCCAGCAGTTTCTTTTTTTTCTTTGTTTTTTCTTTGCAGTTGAAATCTACTGATATTGTCGTTGTTTGCGGAGCTCACAAACCTTCTCAACAGTAACGTGCTGGCTTTTTTGTTATGATTGAAAAGCGCCAAATTACATCTTCCATCATCGGAGTCAGCAATATCGTTGTTTTATTATCTATAAACAGAAGTGAGGAAGTAGAGTAACAATAGGTGAATTTTTCCCACAATAAACTTTTCCTTTAATGATATTTCTCCTAAGCTTTAGTAGTGTGAATTCATATAATTTTCCTTCGAGAAGTTATATTAACTAAGTGTTGTATTTACTATGTAAATAATATGATGTATGTAAATTTTGAGAATAAAAATCAAATTCAAATAAATATTTACTTTTATTATAGTATTTATCATCAAAAATATAATTTTTTTCTTCTATACAATGTATATAGTTCTTTGAATTAAATTATATAATCATTATGAAAATTTGATAAAATTAATTTTTATTTATTTAAATATACGTATAATATGAAAAAATTTATTTTCAACATGAGGTAAATAATCATCATATTGCAGAGTTCTCTTATCTTACTCTAGAATCTAGACAATCAAATTTTTGATAATTTGACAAAAATATTTAATGATTTTTTTTTTATCTCATTCATTCAAAAAATAGTTTTTATGCGATTCAATTTTGATGGCGTTGATGCAGAGTCTTCGTCCGTCTTGACCTACCTACATGAGGACTTGGCAGGTGGGATTCGTCGAGAGAGCATTGAGAGGAGATCGTATCCATTGGGCACGCATCTTCTGGACAACCACCCGGCAACACATCCAGCTCATTCAAGGAGGGTCCGCCTGTTACTTGTCTCCATTCTTGATTAATATCTACAGGGGTATGGGAATACTGACGCCCGCAAAGAGTAGAGTCTTTCCATCATGAGAAGTGCCACAGGAAGGAGAAGAGGTGGTGCTTGCTAACGAGGTCAACTCGGACCTTGAAGGCGAACCGCGCCATTCGCCCCAGTAGAGGAGAAAGCGGTCCTAAGGCTAGCAAGACTCACAACCAAGGAAGAAACAAAGAATCTATGAGGCCACCGTAGCAGAAGAACGGTTACGACGGGCAGCTCCTATTGAGATACGATCACCAGATTTCCGAACCAGGTCAAAGACAAAGGCCAAGAGGTTGATACTAGAAAGGATAGCAGCACGAAGAGTAGAAGAGCTACGCCGAGAGGACGTTCCGTGCAGGAGGCGGGACTAGTGGCAATTGCAGCCAGAGAGAAGGAGGTATCGGTGGGGAAGAATCCTCGGATTATAGAAGAACAGCCGACACCTGTTAAGCCACAACGGGCTTCAAAGATAGATAAGAGGAAGGCGGTTTTGGCGAGTTCCCCCGAGGCAGAATGAGGTTCCTTCGGCGGGCATCTGGATGAAGGCTCCTCGGAACGGGCCGCTGAGGTACTAACAGAGTTATCGGACACTGAGGAAGACCCTGTGGCATTAAAGGAAGTTGCGGAGAAGGCTGTAAAAGACGTGGCAGTAGCTGAGAGTGGACCGTTGAAGGTAGCCTCACCCCGGACCTCCACCAAAATAGTCATACTGGAGACGGATGAGGAACCCTCAGTAGAAGAGGCACAGTGTAATAACCCACCAAAGGCTAAAACTGCAATATAGTGGTAGAAAGGTCAAACCCACAAGGACAGAGGCAACACACAGAGTACAAAGTGTCACATTTAACAGACTATTGAGGAGTTTGAATTCTCAGGCGACTGTCACTCCCAGAAATACTGCAAGTGTTCACTCGGAGGTCACTCGGAGGTCGCATAGTGCAGCGTAGTTCACTCAACACACACACACTCACACCTGAAACTATAGAAACACAACTCAGAGGTTGGTTAGGACCTCTCCTTAAGATTTAAGGGGGAAAGTCTCTCACGAATACACTCATCAAATCTGCGGGTAGTGACTCCAAACTCCGGCTTTTACAACCCTTCCACTAGTTTTTGCTAGCACAGAGAACCCGGTTTGGACTTCCTACTTCGGATCGAAGCCACTCACACGCGATGAACAACACTCTCAACTCACAAAACGCGCAGAGAACACAGGTCCAATTGAGAGACTCAACTGAGAAACGATCCAGTAGCACACCATAACAGTCTATTGAAGAGTTTGAATTCTTAGGCACTTGTCATTCCCAGAAATACTACAGGGGTTGCCCCGAAGGCACATGCTGCAGCGTAACCTGAATTACAACCAAGGCTTACTCGAAGTAGCAAAACTTCACTTTGGCATTCAGGGGAAAAATCCCGAAGGAGTACAATCAGGAACAATCACTCGAAAGTGTAAGGGGGAACTGTTCAAGTATCTATCTAACGGACCAGTGAATCGGAGCTCCGGCCAACGCCAACTCCACGAAAGACACTTGCCAAGAAGTGATGTATGTTGTTCGGTGCGGCTGCAAGAGTGTGGTAATCCACTTTTGTTTTTTTTTGCGGAATTTAAAACAATTTTGGAAAACAGTACCATAGCAGCCGTGTAAATGGTGATCGATACATTTAAATAGAATGTAAATGGATAATCGCGGATCTCACAGGATCTCGTAGAATCCAGAAGTTGGGCGCAATGTCCAGAACAGGCGCCGACCTGAACGATCGATCCTGAAGGAGTTCTCCTTCAGCGCAAGGCGCATAATCCGCCTTCGGCGGTACGCCTTCGGCGCTAGAGGGATCCCTCAGAATTTATGCAATTCACAAACACCTCGACTTGCTCAGGATCTTGTTGGAAAGAGCTCGACGCGCTCGTTCTAACGAGCCCAAGAACGCCTGGAACGAATGAGGACTCAGGGAGTTGTGATTGTCAGAAGATGCGAAGACGAGCGCCTACGCATAGGCGGAAGGAGTTCGTCGTCGGCGAGAAGTCCGCCGAGAATTTCGCCTACGCATAGGCGGAAGGAAGTTCGCCTACGCATAGGCGGAAGAAATTCACCTACGCGTAGGCACTCCGCCATCGGCAGAATATCCGCCTTTGGCCCTAGAAGTTCGCCTTCGGAGATGGAGCTCGTACGGCGCCTACGGCGCCAGCGCATCAAGATTAGGTAAGTACTAACGGAGTAGCGAATCCATACGGTCCGCCTTCGGCTCACAGCCTACGGCGGTACGGACGGGTGCGCCCTCGGCGGTACGGACTCCGGAGGCGAGAGCGCCTGCGGAGAGGCGAGAGAGATTGACAGACAGGACGGAATCCTGGTAAGCGCGCAACCCAATCTGCGGGATCTTGAGCGGAATCATCCGCAGCTGAGTGGGCTTCGACATCGCGTTCTTGAAATTGGATTTCGTGAACCTTCCTCCGCTATACTCAAGCTTCTTGCCCGCAACTGCGATTCTCCTGCAAACTCTAATCTCTCTCAATTCCGACTGTTGCACACTCAATTCTCTCTCTGTCACCTTGCGAGTCTCTGCGCGTCGGTGTCTCGAATTTCTCTCGGCCAGAAGGTGGACGCGCGCAGCCTGCACAAGAAATTGAAATCGCAAATTCAAGAAGGAAGTGTCCGCCCTTGGCTCGCAGGATGTCATGGTCGTCACTTGGTTGTGAGTGTCGACTCACTTGATGGCTGCGCCGGCTTGGAGGTGTAACGGCCCTCCTCTCGCACGCGCGGCTTCACGCTCCGCCGTCGCCCGCACTCACACGTTCAAAATTTCAATTTGAGTTCCGCCATCGTACTTCGCCCTGGCTATGGTCGCGCAGCGCCGAAGGCGTCTTGCCGAAGGTGCTGCGGCAAAGGCTTTCGCCTCTAGCCGACTCGCTACTCGCATCCATCTCGCACCGCCGTAGGCGAAATCTGCCGCACGCGCTCCGCCAAAGGCGAACTCCTTCCGCCGAAGGCGTTGACCCGCAGCGCCGAAGGCGTCTATACCGCCGAGGGCGTTGACTCCCAGCGCCGAAGATGTCCGTCGGCGTGTCTCCCTAAAGATGTCCGTCGGCGTAGGTGCATCGCCGAAGGCGGCTGTGCCGCAGACGTTGACCGTGGTCAACGGATTTCGTCTTGTCTGTCGCTCTGTCTTGTCCCTCCGCAGTCGCTCTCGCCGCCGGAGTTCTGTCCCGCCGAAGGCGCACCTGTCCGTTCCGCCGCAGGCGTTGAGCCGCAGGCGGACCGTACAGAGTCGCTACCCCCAAAGGTACTTACCTAATCTTGATGCGCTAGCGCCGTAGGCGCCGTACAAAATACTTCACCCCCGAAGGCGAACATCTAGGGCCGAAGGCGGATATCCCGCCGAAGGCGAAGTGCCTACGCCAAAGGCGAACTCCTTCCGCCGAAGGCGGATTTTCCGGCGGACTTTCCGCCGACGACGAACTCCTTCCGCCGAAGGCGCACGTCTTCTTATCTTCCGACAGTCACAACTCCCTAAGTCCTCATCCGTTCCAGACGTTCTTGGGCTAGTTAGAACGAGTTGAGCTCTTTCCAACGAGACTCTAACCAAGTCAAGGCGTTGTGAATTGAATAAGCTCTAAGGCATTTCCCTAGCGCCTAAGGCGTATCGCCGATGGCGGATTATGCGTCTTGCGCCAAAGGAGA